TGTCTGATGAGGTTGTGTTTGCGCTATCCTCAAACACTGTTTATACTGCATGTGCATGCATGCACACCCATCCTGCAACATGCGCAGGAGGGCAGCTGTCAGAATGACGCACAGTGGGAGCAATCCAAGAAGCAGCCATGCTCTGGAACGGATGGAGGGTTTCTACTTCCCTGCAAAACAATAGGCACCCCTTCGCTCCCACAAATAGAGAATACCCAGGGTTCTGTACCCATTTACTGCACCAAACAAAACAAAACAAAACAAAACAGGGTAAATGTTTATTTGGGTAATCTGATCTCTGTGCCAAGAAAAGCTGGATCGTGTAAACTGTACGTATAAATTGTGCAAATTGAACAGATCTGAACATATTCTATTGCACTTTTTAAGTGTTTTGCTATTTGCATATTTCTTCCTATAAGCATTGCCTGTACTCACTTGAGCAACCTTCTTCAACCAGGTGCCCTTCACTTGTGATTGGGCCCAGCCAGCACAGTATCCCAACTCTTTCTGGAGAGTCCAGGAATCAAACCTGGGATCTTTCTGCATGCAAAATATGTTCTGCCACCATCAGCTCCAGTCCAATTCAAAGTGCTGGCTTGTGTCTACAAAACCCTAATCCAGGACTCCAGAAGGCCAAATCTTTGCAGCCCTGGGCCTCCATCCAGCCCTCTGGGATGCCCCAAATGGTCTTCACATGCCTCCATCACTGACAATTTGGTGGTTCCCTGCATTTGTGTAATTGTCTTCCCTTTCTAAAAGGTTTTTCTTTTCCTAATGTTTAATATATAAGAGTAAGCAAATAAGAACTTCCAGCTAAAATTTGCTGATATTTTGGCCTGTCCTGTTTATCTTGGCCCCCATTTGCAACTGGAATGTACCCTCCCCCAGCTCTTTCTGTATGAACCTGCCCTCCTTTGGAAGCCCTTTGCATGTCTCACCAACAAGAGTGGCTAGGCTGATGGGAACATGGGGCAGGGCCTTCTCTGGGGTATCACCCTAAGTGGAAGTCTTCCCATAATGGCCTTGCTTTGTTTACTTAAAAAGTAGCCATTAAGATGTAATTGTGTTATGTATGGCTTTTGAGTGACTCCAAACATTATAAACAAACATTTATTTGTTTATAAAATACTGTCTTTTCACCTATTTTTCATTTGCTGGACTAGGTTGCTATGAAAGTTTTAAATTATTTGAACATTCTACATGGTGAGTCACTTTGGGGGACATTTTTAATGAAAAGGAAACCCAGAAATAATTTTATAAAAACACAGATAGGCAGGCAAACTTGTCTCCCAATATTTCAGTAGCTCAAATAACCTATGCTCCCACCTCAGCATATCTATTTATCAAATGGATACAGCTGGCTTAGCAGTCATAACAACACCCAGCCAGAAAGAGATAAGATGGAATTTATGTGTGAGAGCAGAAGGGATACCAAAGGGGGGGACACCTTTTGAGGGAAAGCAGGTGTCTGTATAGTAGAGCGTACAGAGGACTTAGACCTAAGTGTGGGAGCTCAGCTGTGAAGCTGGCTAGGTGGTCTCAGATGTTTAGGCTGAAAATATTCTCAGCCTAGCTGGCTTCACTGACTTGTTGTAAGCATAAATGAGATAAGAGCTGTAAAGTGAAGAGCATGAGAAATTATTCCTCTGTATCCTTTTAATCCCAAACTCTGGGTTCCTGTGTAGAGATGTAATGTTGAGCTATTATATATCAGAGCACTAAGCCAGTGGGCGAAGGCTGCTGGAGGGAAAGGGAGGGGTGCAAATCTTCAGAAGAATACACATTCTGAACATAAATAAACACCTAAAGAATGCACACACACTATGGGGAAATAGCGGCACTTGCTGTGACTGGGAGAAGCCATTCACTGTGCTGATGAGATCTCCTTAGGTGAGGAGACAGGGCACCTCCCACCAAGCCTAAATGTGGAGTGCTGAGAAGCATCACTGGCCAATTCTACTTTGCAGCCCTTACTGCTACTCAGGGTTTGTTCTTCCACAGCGAGATAGAAGCAAACCTGTCACTGCAGATTGACAGGCACTTTTATAGTGCTCTGCTTCATATTAAAAACCACAATGCCCATCCCCATTCCACAGCAAAAGTATGCAGCTCCAGCTATCCCATCCCCAAAGCTAAACATTTGCTCTTTTTATGAACTTGCCTGTTATAGAGGCTAGATTGACAGAAGATAGATCTACAAATGTTTTCAACTTCAGCTTCCAGAAGCCACTGATTACATATTCAATGGTCAAGAATGTGCCAGGTCTCTTGGCCTACAACTCCGATGATCCCACATCTTTGGCCATAGTGTGCAGGGTTGGTGGCAGTTGTAGGCCCAAACATCTGGGGGGGGGGGACAAGTTGTCCATTCCTGCTGTAAAGCACTCCCCCAAACATTTAAAAATTAAGAAAGAGCCAATGCAGGATAAATATCAACTGGTTGGAGGGAAAGAGAATGGAATGGAGGGCCAGAATGTAATCTTGTGTTCCCTGACTGAAACCACAAATGAGTGGATTTTGACCACATAGTGGTGACAGTACAGTGAGGGAATGCAATGCAGATAGGTGGGGCTTTGCCACCTCTTTCACCACCTGTATCATAGCTTGTTTCTCCATGGAGGTGAGTAAATAGCACTTGTCCACACAAGAAAGGCTGGCACAGCAAGTGCACGGAAATCAGCAAAACGTATCTGGAAATGAAGACTTAAGGGGGGGGGGGGGGGGGGG